TGATCGGCAAGCCAGAACAATGAAGAAACGCCCGCCACGGCCCCATGCGACAAACCTGCTCACGCTGATGTCCGCCTTCAGGGTCGCCTCGACATCCAGAAGGTTGCGCACGAGGGGCAGCCTTGTCAGTCGGACGCGAACGCCACAAGCCAGTTGACATCTCCTCCGAGAAGAACACCTCTGCACTCAGATCCATGATGTGTTTTTTGTTCGTTGTCGTTGAACCCGCTTTCTTGGCTTGGACTGAATGTTTTCGTTCTGTCGAGCTCGTGTCGGTATCAGCCAGCAAGTTCACTGAAGTAAGTTCGGCCCTGGCGCCAGCTCCGTGAATGTCTGCTTTATAGAAAGACAAGAAACCTCTGGTGTACGAGTCCAATGTGTTCGGGCATTGCTTGGACAGCCGATCAAGAACCTCTGGGTACTTCAGAGCCGCTAACGTTGGATAGGGTGGCTTACGACATCTGGTGATGACAAGCTCGTGCGCGGCAGCGCCCAGCCGAATGCTCATGAGGAATGCCATCAACTGCTGGGACTCGGTGCGACAGCTGACGAGATCGAATTCGGAATCCTTGAAAACCATGTCGCCAATACCATTCATGAAAGCGCCGTTGTCCTCGCCTTCGTACTGTAAAATCGCCTGGTAATGACGGCTACCGTCCCGCAAGAAGCAAGCTTGCTGTTCACGCTCGAAAAAAACGCTGGAAGACCGAAGTTGCCGAAGAACCCATGGCATAGATCTCTGCAGGCAGACCCGAAACAAAACGAGATCATCCTGAAACCTGCCACTCAGAATCCAAGACGTCGTCCGCGTCTTGCGATCGGTCGAGTCCTCCATCCATAAGTTCTCCTCATCCTCGCCCTCGTCGCCGACGTCGGACGGGCCCAAGCCGGCAGCGCCGATCACGTCACTGGACAAGGCAGCGGCGGCCACACCTAGCGGCACCATCGATCCCACGCTCCCAATCGACACCCCCCAGCGGGTTCGGCGACCGAGGGGGAGAGGACGAGACGGGCGAGAGCGGCGACGCCGCAAGGGGGATCGCCGAAGGACGCGGCACGATATCGACGGCGAGCTCGAGCGAAGACCCGACAGAGGTGCCCCGTGGAGGAGAGCGACGGGGGGGGTCGAGGACCCAGAAAGACGACCGATTGGGAGGCGAGACCGATGGGCCACCGAAAGTCCCCCCCCGCTGGACCTCCCCCCGTGAGCTTCGTGCACAGGCGCCTGCAGCAGCCAGATCGACGTCGGCTACTCTGCAGTACGCCGCTGGGAAGATGCCGAAGATCAGCGTGGGCAGCAAGACCTGGTCCACACATGCGTCGCTGCCCGTCCAATTGTTGCGCTGCAAGACCTTCCAAGCTCGTCTCGGCAACAAGCATTGCAAACCCAAAGTGCACAGCATCTGAACCAGCCGTGGACGACCAAGATTGTATCGATCAACCACTCTGAAAAAATCATGCTTGCCCCAATCTCCATAGAACAAATTTGATACAACATGCCTGCGGTAACGGTCGTACGGAGTAGAACCAGATAAGCACAACTGCAAAGTAGACTCCATCCTGTCCAGCGCCTCAGTGCCCAAACTGTCGGCGGAAATGATTCTGACTCTCTCCTGGATGATCGCTCGGGCGGCGTCGATCACATTCGAGCCGTGCGACCCTTGCATCGACAACTGCAGCCTGATAAGATGTGAATCAACTGGTTTCTGAACTAGGTTTAACTCCCCATTGCATTGGGCCTTTTTGTGGGCTAGACAAAGAAGGGTGAGCGTTGTCTCACAGGGCCCAGCTCGATCTTCGAGGCATCGCTCTGCTCGAATATTCGGGGCGCCCTCGTCGTGACACGCGATGTTCACTACCCTCTCAACGCCTGCGACAAGATCGGACTCGCCTTCGAAGTTCTGCAGGCGTAAGCTCTCAACGACTGTCTCACCATTGTTCTTGTCGATCGTCTGTAAGATGGCAGGCAGTCGACCGAGCAGCGTAAGGTATTCGGACCGATCTCCACGAAGACGTCGTAGGATGAGTCCCCAAGCAAGTTCACTCACCATGACCTTATGGCGTTTGTCTTGCTTGTCCAAGAGGTGCCCTCGATTGTCGGGAATCGCTAACAGGTCGTGGCCAGGCGCATCGACTCCCGCAGGTATCGGGGCGACGCAAGGCTGCTGGGCCTCATCATATTTCCTGCGCCCGATGTAAACAACTGCTTTCGAATTGTCATCTCCAGAGCCGCCCAGTCCAGACCGACGAACTGCACTGCAAAGAAGGTCGGCAACTTTCTTGCGAAGGCCTCTATACAAGTAAAACGCACTTGCCCGAGCCTTCTCAACAAGATGGTTGCTGCTACCTCCACCATGTAATAAGGACCTGGCTTTCGACGTGCACTGAACCTGAGCCTGATATGTGTGGACGATTTCCCTGCAACCATCTAGTCGTCTCTGGCGCAACCTGTTTCTCATCGCCAGGTCTGGTCGCGGAACGTCGGCAATGGGCGCGCACGCGTCACTGACAGCAGGGGCAGGATGGACTGCAGCAATCGCATGACATGGTACCAGCTCAGGGAGGCGATCGATGGGATCGGCTGCAGCGTTCCAGTCGTCGTCGTCGCTCTGCGCATCTGATGCAGGAGGGGCCGCGACGATCTGACCACCACCACTAGCGTTCCAATCATCAGAATCACTGTCTAGCATGGCCACTGCCAGGTGGCCTGCGGTGCGCTCGCTTCATTGTTCGGAGCAGCCTGTCGCCCCAAAATGGGGCCGAAGGTCGAAACAGTTTGAGCCAACATGGTTGTGGCAGCTCCCCCTTCTTACGCCCCCTCCTGTCGTGAAGTTCCTCCTCGCTCGTACCCTCCTCCCCACTCGCCCCCCATCGTCTGGCGTTTGGCTGCGTTTCCTTTGCTGTATGTTACATCGGGCCCCCACGTGTGTTTGATGCACCTACCCCGAGATTACGTTGGCCCGACGCGTTTGGGGTTCGGTGGGAACTTGCAAGCCCCAGAAACCAACAACCTGAATCTCCCTACCTTATTTCAGTGCTGTCGGACAGTTCAGGGTGCTCCCAAGGTTTGGAGGGCTAAACAGGTCCTTGTTGGCATTGCCCTCATGTGTCTCTAGAGGGGGGCTCGTCGCCGTCGCCGTCTCCACCGCCAGCGTCACCAACGTCGTGTCACCGTGTCTGTCGGGGGTGGCTTGTATCTATTGAACTCTGACAACTACGAGGAGGACCAAGGAGGCCCGAAGGCACTGGGGGGAGGGAGGAGGATGGAGGGCTGTAGGGTCCCACGAAAAGGCAAAGTAGGCCGAGGAATGTCTGAACGAGAAGCTGGAGGAGATGGGGCGAGGATGCGTCTAGCACACTCTGCATCAACAGACATTTCAACTACTTACATGAGTGCTGCTTTGAGCTGGATCCGAAATATCAGAAAAAAGCGAGGTCGATATTGAACTCGCCACATACAGCGCGAAAAACACCAAAACGAAAACGACCTTCGGGCCCTCGCGCGCGAAAACAACGAATCGCAATCGACCCGACACCACCATTTCGAAACGACTACGAGGACGACCTCCGAACCACCTTTGGGGATTTCTCAATTTGCCTGGTTCCGAGACTTCTAGTGTCGTAGCGGACCTGTGGCTCCGCGCGCGCGTGCGTAACTAGTGGGTGGTGGTGCGCGTGCGTGCGTGCGTGCGTGTGTGCGTGGTGGTGTGGTGGTGGTGTGGTGCTGGTGCTGGTGTGGTGCTGGTGCTGGTGCTGGTGCTGGTGCTGGTGCTGGTGCTGGTGCTGGTGCTGGTGCTGGTGCTGTGGTGGTGGTGGTGGTGGTGGTGGTGGTGGTGGTGGTGGTGGTGGTGGTGGTGGTGGTGGTGCGGCGCGGTGGTGGCGGGCGGATGGGCGCGCGAGAAAGAGGCCCGCGCTGGGGCGAGAACGCCATCCTGAACGACGGAGGCCAAACACCGATCCGAAAATGAGGCCCACGCTGCAGCGGGAGCACGATTCGGAACGATTCGGGAGCAGAAATGAGGCCGGCGCCTCAGCGAGAGCAGCATTTTTGAAAAAAACACAAGCGAAAACCCAACTCCGGGGAATCCTGTGTGTAAAAAAACAATACGCGGGGGGGTGCCGAATATCTTCCGGACGCCATCAGGGGAAGTGGGAGAGTATTTTCATATTGTGTAATTGTTAAGAGGGCTGCGAGGCGCCCCCAAAAGAGTCCAAGACGGCCAAGAGTCGCCAGAAGGTCGCTCAAGGGCCCCCGAGATGATATCCAAACAAACCCGAACGGCTCCAGGACGCACGACGACGCTTCCATGGGCATCTCTCGGAAGGGCCCGACAAGCACAAATCGTCAGAGTCCCCTCGGAAAGCGTACCATTTTAGCATATTCCCCGCTTGCGATTCCACGGCACGAAGAACGACCTCAGGGATTGGGCATGAGGAGGGTGGGGCTCCTCACATCCATCGTCAATTCACCAACTGTCGCGATGGATGTACGGTCCCTCTGGAGAGGATCTGTTCATTTGTTTGAACGAGCGAAGCAGCCGTACGCCAAACGCGCGTGTGCAAGACAATTGGCGAGCGTGCTCGCAACGCCGAACGCGTTCGCTGGCGGACCGGAGGCGCCAAGCGCGCGAAGAGACAGCGAAGACGCGCCAAACCCGCGCCGGGAGGACGAGGGGAGGAGGAAGATGATGATGATGATGATGATGATGATGATGATGATGATGACGATGATGGAAAACTGACTGCATGAAACTTCAGCCAGGACTCACAGGCAATATGCTTGGGCGTGCGATCTTCGCGGCGGGAGCGAAGGCCATCCTGGAACGGCTGCACCTGGAGAGCCTGACCGGGCAGGTGAGCCCGTGGGCGGAGAGACCTTTTTACCCCGCAGTGGCGAACTTACCTTGATTACGTCAGAGATCCCCCCCCGACCCCACGATGAATAACACTGTGACGAGTAAGCAAGGCTTTGGGCAGCTTGCGCGGTTGCGCGGGAGCACCCGACGAGGCACGCCTTCTGAAGCCACCGGCGCTCGCGAAGGAAGTTGACGTAGGGCTCCAGAAGCTTCCGCCTCCTGAAGCCGACGACGACGAGCATGAGGACGACGGGGTAGAAGGAAGAGCACCATGACGAACTGTAGGAGGAGGAGGGGGAGGAGGAGGAGGAGGAGGAGGAGTGGGGGTGAAGGGAGACGATGATAAGAGAGCCAAGTACGGTGTTCCCTCCTCACTCACCCTCTTCTCTTCTTGTCCAGATTGGCTTCTGAATACTCCCCATGATGCTCGAGCATATGGTAAAAATGCGAAACAATCTCCTCCCACGCACACAAAACTGCCTTCACAATGTTTGAAAAAGAGCTCCCACAACCGTCAACATAAGAAACGTTCCCCCCTCATAACATAATCAAGATGTGTGTCGGCACAACGCGGACCAGAGCGATCGAAATCAACAGACATGTGATCCCCGGCAATATCCTCACGTGCAGCGCCACTGCGTACTTCACGCGCCCTCACCAGGCCGGCGCATCGCGCACGCGAGAATGACGACATCTGAAAAACTGGAGGGGTTTCCCCGTCCCAGCCCGCTCGGGATCTCCGGCAGAACTGCGCAGACGAGCTGCGGACAACGATGCGATAGCAAGAGACATGACACATACACATCGGCAACTCAACGATTACTAACAGAGCCGTATTTCCGGGATGATCGTGGATCGTGTGGCGATCAGTTTTCCGGCTGCGAGTGCAGAAAAACAGGCGCGCCCATTTCAAGAAAACTCGAGCACGGACTGAGCAAGCGAGCTGGATGTTACAGCAACGTCTGCAATCTGACCAAGCAAGTAAATTGCTGAACTATCCTGCCTGAGCCGACATATCTCAAAACAGAGTCAAGCAACAGGGTGCGGAAATCTCTTCAAGGATATATACTCATAATGTTGTATACCTATATACCTATGAGGGAACCCAGACACATATCATCTCATACCCGACGACCCCTATCGAAGAAGTCGGCCTCCTGACAAGATCCACCGTGCTGGAAGAAGGCAATCTCCCACCCCATAACACAGATGCTGCCAATCCACCAGCAAGGAAAACATGAGAGACGGCCGATGCTGTAAAAAATGTAGCTTTCATTGTGCTACTAATATGTTCGCACATCGAAAGCAGTCCCGCTCCTCACAAGGACGTGGCCCAACACGAAGAATGGGAAGTCGTTGACCACGTGAGCGAGCAGGCACCCGGGGTCGTTGGTCTGGTCAGAGACTTGCCACACAATCCTGCCAACATAAAGCGACCCTAAACAGAAAGAACGCCAAGACGCGGGGAAGGTGAGCTGCATCGGCAAAGAGACTACACGATCAGTCAGCACCTCTTCACATTACGAACCCGTACACGTGTGCGCTCAACAAGCTCACCTGTGGCGCACGAGCGGTGTATTATCGGCAATATCTCTTGAAACACTACCCGCAGTCTGACCATACAAGCCGCCTCCGCTGGCGGCGGCAAGCTAAAACGGGCCTGCTCTTCCTCGCAAACTTGGGATGGTGCCTTGTTTCTGTTGTACCAGTTTGCGGAAGCATCCTCAACGGCAAGACTGCCGCATTACCCTTTGTGGGCGGAAGGCCGCGTCTGTTGGGATCCCCGCCAGCCAGAAGGAACCCCCCTCGCAGCCTGTCTGTGAAGAATTGTCTGGTCCGATATCTCTGCGGCGCGGATACTTTGTGCGCCTCCTCCTCCTCCTCCTCCTGCTCCTCCTTCTCCTCCTCCTCCTCCTCCTCCTCCCCCTCCCCCCCCTCCTCCTCCTCCTCCTCCTCCTCCTCCTCCTCCTCCTCCTGCTCCTCCTCATGCTCCTCCTCCTCCCTCCTCCTCCTCCTCCTCCTCCTCCTCCTCCTCCTCCTCCTCCTCCTCCCTGTGGACACATCCGCGCTGCCCGTGAGAAGCAACTCCTGCCTCCACCAGCATCCCGCGCCGCGGCGTGCGCAGCGTGCAGGGCAAAACCGAGACGGAAGGGGCGCGGATCTCGCGAGGCTGACGGCCAATCCATGAACAGCGGAAGGAGATGCTGGGTTTGACGGCGAGCGAGGGGGGGAAATGGGAAGGAGAAGGCCTTCTCAGAAGGCGGCGGGACTTCTCAGAAGGCGCGAGGCCTTCTGAGAAGTTATGTGTGCCTTCGGGGACGGCTTAGAAAACTTCTCCGAAGACTGGGGGACTTCCGAATCTTCCGAGAAGGCCTTCTCCTTCTCACGTCCCCCACATCGCTCGCCGCCGATAGGTAGCTGCGATGGCTCACCAGCTGGGAGGCACGTCATGGGCAGGCTGGAAGAGGCTTCGGCCAGAATGGGGCAAACTGCAGAGGCTGAATGCATGTTGCGAGAATGCGCAATGGGCACGGCCAAGTCGGGAAACGCCGTGCACACCTGCGACCTCCACGGAGCCTCGCCACTGAGCAATGCGGCCCAGAGGTTGCCAAACGCCGCGATCTGTGGGCCAGCTCCCAAAACAGGGCTGGCCCTGAACGTTGTTTTCCGTTTTGTCTTCGTTTTGTTTTTCGTGGTGCCCTACCTGTTTCCTGTACCTCCCTCCCAAAACAAACAACAGAACACAGCCGAAGTGCAGCAAAACAGCGCTTGGGTCCAGGCCCGTTCCGACACGGGGAGGGACGCACTCGAGATGCAGGCCGGCTGCCCCCGGGGCCGCCTGGTTCCGATCGCGAGGCACACGAGGGGCACGTCGGTGAAGTGGCCGAAGCTGAAGAGCAGGATGCGCCAGGCAAACAGCGTCTTCATGTACCTGCCCCGCCGCCGCGGCCCCTCGGGCTGCTCAGCCCTCCAAGCCGGAGGGTCCGTACACCCCAGGCCCGACGAGGGTGGACCTCGAACAGACGCGTCGGCAACGCGGAAGCACGCTGGCCCCGGAAGAAGAGAAGGGCGCCTGGGTTCGTTGGGAGGCAACTACTGGGAGGTCTTCGTCGGAAGGACTGAGAAGGATTAAGCCCCATTGAAGGCTGTTACGCCGGAGTGGGCCTCGGATAAAGCGGAATTTAAAAGGGATTAAACTGGATTAAGCAGGATTAAGCCAGATTTCGGACCAGGGCAAAATCAGAATTTGACCTCCCAGGAATTGCATCCGAACCTGGGGTGCACAGATCAGCGTGCCGATTATAGCAGGCATGCTGCTCTTGGGTGCCGCGCGTGCGCTCTGCGCACGGCCCACGTTGAGCACGCACGTTGCACCACTCAATGCGACGCGTGGCTTGCAAGACATCGCCTGCTCAACACATGCTACATGCTGTTTCCTGTGTGACATCCTCTGCGTTGGGGGGCGAGACAGCCATAGGCACCGCACGGAAACGTCACGCAACTGATACACACCGTCCCGATTGCAGACGCACGGGCGAACCAGAAATAGGGCATGCATGATTCTCGACACCGATCTTGAAGGGTCCCGGGGCTCGAAACAATACAAACATGCTGCAGATCAGATGTTCAAAACGCTGCTTTTTCAATGCTTTCAGGGTCCTGGGGCTCAAGGCAAGCACCAGGGTCATGTTCATTTCACGACGCTCCGATCTCCCCCTTCCCTCCTCCCTCCCTGGAAGCCCCGGGGGATCCCCGGATGTCTCCAAATCTCCTAGGAGGGCTGCTCACGCCTCCGTGAACATCGTTTCACCGATCCCTGTCCCACACACTCTGCACACTGAAACCGATGTGCCGTCAAGGCGGGTTCTGACCTGACCTGGCATGTCCCCACCGCCGTGGCCTGGGCCCCACTGGCCGATCTACCCAGCTGGATTGGGACATAGGCTGCTCCCTTCGGGCTTTGACGAGCCCGTGACCGGCTGGCATGGTGGGATCGTGTGGCAGAGAGACCGTGGCCCCGTGGAGAGGAGGATCCTGATCAGCAAGAGGAGGACCCCTGACCCTCTTGGGAGGAGACCAAAGCCAGGAGGACCAAAAACACTGGGGATACGGTCGGGAACGTTTTGCTCAGAGTGTCGCGGCGGCGACCCCGATGACACGCTATTCCCTGCGAGCGGACAGCGTGCCGCTCCGCTTCGCGGGGTGGGAGGCCTGGAAAAGCTCGGGGCGCTGACGCCAGGGGGTCCCGAAATGGATAGCGGGTCGCGCCAAGGCGTGGTGAGCCAGAACCAACGGAGACACGCTATCCAAACAGTTCCGACCGTAGGTTGAACGCTACTGATTATGTGGAGCCCCCCCCCCCCTGTAGCCCTGGGGGAACGCCTCGACCCCGTCGATGGGGCTACGTGCTGCTCCCTTCGAGTTTCGGCGGGCCTACGTACCCCCAACTGGGGTGGAAGGGCGGTGCGGCTGGGACACCATGGCCCCGTAGGGATGGCGCTACGCAAAAAAAACGATCCCGTGGGGCAGGAGAAGGAGGAGGCCGAGGAGGAGGGAGGAGCAAGAGAAGGAGGAGGAGGAGAAGGAGGAGGAGGAGAAGGAGGAGGAGGAGGAGGAGGAGGAGGAGGAGGAGGAATGGGAGGAGGAGGAGAAGGATGAGGAGGAGGAGGAGAAAGAGGAGGAGAAGGAGGAGGAGGAGGAGGAGGAGAAGGAGGAGGAGGAGGAAGGGGAGGAGGAGGAGGAGGAGGAGGATGAGGATGATGATGAGGAGGAGGAGGAGGACGAAGAGGAGGAGGAGGAGGAGGAAGAGGAGGAGGAGGAGGGTACTGAGGGTACTACTGACTATGCGGGCGCCACGTGGCGCCCCTGGCCGCACGGCCACAAATTAATCCTCGTCGATTAATTCAGGCTCCTCAGGAGCTCTCTGACGGGACCTCTCCCACCGAACAAGCTCATCTGGCGAGGAGAACCCATGCAACTTGGCGACGCTGGTGGCGTCAAGGCAGGGAAGGCATAGCAGTCGGCTCGCCTGCTTCACCTCCCCAGAGGCGCGGGGCATCACGCTCCCCGCCGACGCCTGGGGCTCGACCGGCCCTTCATCACCTACAGCATCGCTGCTCGGAGCAACAGCAGCAGGAGTAGGGGCAGGCTCGAGAAGAGGCCCCCAAACAGCACGCATCTGAAGGGTCGGCCCGTGAGCCGCCCCTACACGAGCATTCCCTAGGGTGTGCCCTGGGAACAGACCTCGACGGAGCTTGGACCTCTGGGTCTTGAGCCCTGGATGGCCCGCTCCCGAACACTCTCCCTGCAGCCCCCGAGCGTTTGAATGCGCTGAGGCGCCGCAGATCTTACAAAATAATAGTGGCGACAGTTCCTGGCCTTGATCTGATGCGACGCTGCCCTGCACAACACTGTGCCCTCGAAAAAACCAAGGAACACCTGTTGCAGCAACAAAGCCAGCGTCGACACCATGGGGTTCTTCCGTACCAGCGAGGGAAGAGGAGGGACTCGGAGCAGAGGAAGGACCAGTCTCAACCCCCTCGGCCACGGACCAGTCCCCAAACGGAGCTCGACCTTCCTCCAGACAGGCACGAATTAGATACTGGGACAGGTCTTCATCTAACACGATGCCCCCTGTACCTGAAAGCTCGACCGAATCTGGCTGCTCTATCTCTCCGAAAAATCCTGACATCTACTCTGCCAGCGCACAATATCCGAGGCTATCCTTTCACACCCCGAGACAAAGTCAAGATGGTCTCGAGGCACATTCCAAAGTTTCGCTCCTGCCTTGGCCCACTTGTCGGCCATAGCGTTGCCCTTGATGAGCCACGTGTCATGATCAGACCTAGCGTCCCTCAAGCTCCTGTGGGCAACTACCTTGACAATAGAAGCCTTCTTACCTAGATCAGACCACCAGGTCCTCCACATGTGTGCACGTGTTTTCGAACTGGCCAGAGCAACACTCGAATCGGTAGCACAACCGAAGGTACCTGCACAATCAGTATGCACAACTAAGGGATCATCTACAGACCACTCTGCAAAATGAGAGAGCATATAGAAAGCCCAGTCCTCTTCGTCGCGCGCGGACTGCGAGGGCGCCTGGTGGAACGGCGCAGCGCCGTACATGGCTCCGACGAGCTCTCCTGCACGATTAACCTGAATCACGGCCCAACCTGCCCGACTCAGTCCCTGAAGATGACTGTGGAAAGCCGAGCCGTCGACAAACACGTGGCCCGAGAACCTCCACCCAGGAAACACTCCAACAAACCGCACTTGGTAAAAGGGAGGCGAGGGGAGGCGAAGGGAAGGCAAAAGGGAGGCGAAAGGAAGAGACAACGAGCCATCATCTCAGCAGGTTCCTCCCCAAGACTTCGCACATCCATGGCTGCCTGCATTACATGTGTCGGGCATTCCTCGCGACGAGGAACAGCGCTCCGAGGGGGGCCGTAGAATATATGATGAAGCGTGCCTCGCATGCCACAGTGCACGCAACAATCATTCACCGCCTTACCGTGCGCGCGCAGGCGCGCCTAGGGCCAGTGTGACCCTCCTACTAGACTCCTGATGGCAACTGCTCGGTGTGAGCTCCAGCCTTCCGGGTAGTCCTGATCGAGCAGCTTGCCGACAGGGCCCCAATGCAACGGGTGGACCCAGGGCGCCTTCAAACGTTTCAAAGCGTTGACGCCAGACGCCTGGAGGGCCAGGGGCCGAATCAAATCCACGTAAAAGCCATGCGAAAAATCCAAGATCCTGAAGTCCCCGAGGCGAGGATGCCTCAGAATTTCTACAGCTGGCAACTGGCACCCAATCCTAGCTAGCGAAAGGGCAGCAGCCTGGGCTGGATCTACTACCTGAGCCCATGGTCGATCCTTAAAGAGGAGCGGCTGCGCTTCCTCAAGACAAGCCCGAAGCGGACCGATGCCTGGCATACAGGAATGGACACTCAACGTCCAGTGCTTGACTACATCACAGACATGCACGACCCAGGGGTCCCGGGTGGACCCTCGCTGCGTCGACCTCAGACGGAGCGCAACAGAGGTTCCTGGAGGGGCCCTCCCTTCTGCACGCAACGAAGCAAGCCGCAAGGCGGCGAGTTTAGTGTCAGCTATGCCAGTGACCTACGCCCCCCACATCGCCGTCGCCGTAGGAGGCCCCATCATAATAGTGCTGACACTAGCTCCTGCCTGCCTGAGCGAAAAAAAAAAACACGCTTTGATACCGATGACGCTTTGGCCAACCGTTTGTTCTGCTCTTGAACACCCCCCGACGCGCCATCAGTGGCGTCCGTACCTAAAGACCTGCTGCTACGAAGCTCCTTCTCATGGCCTCGGCTCCAGCGCTCGTTTAGCTCCGAATCCAAATCCGCTGAACTGGTCATGTAGCCAGTCTAATCCCAATTTACAACGAGTTGCCTTTGCTGAAGGGACTCTGCCCAGGAAAAAGATCAGGAGCGTCCAGAGCTCAAGATCCTCAGGATCCGACTCCCATGTCATAAAGATGTCCAGGAACGCCTGCTTGTACGAGTCTGGCAGCCAAAGAACCTGCCTCGGGTGGAGGTGGTCCCACCCCAGCCCGCAGGCCCCCGAGTAGGAAGACAGCACAGGAGCTCAGCTGCGAGATGGTGACCCTAGGCAGCTCAACCCAAGGGTCCAGACCCCCAGGTCAGAAATCCCTGGTCGGAAACAGCACCACAGGAAGCCTCCGAGGGCCTCACGGAAAGGGCCCCAGGACACCAGGATCTCGGGTGGGATTCACCATCTCTCCTTGGAGCATTCCAAAGCGGCTCCCACTGCTCTAGAAGCCTGTACACCGCCTTTTGCCCCGAGACAGGCAACAGCGGCGCCAGCCCCGTGGCCTCCGAAAAAAATCTGCGTGTCGGGTAGAGGCTCCCGAACATAGGCGCAAGCAGCCCTCCCCCCTTGATTCTTGACGGCCTCCTTGGCCCAAGCCCTCCAGGCTTTGGCGCCAGCCGCCCTGGCCTTCGCTAGGAGGTGAGAGAGGTGACCCCTCAACCCCAGGAGGAAGGAGAGAGCCTCATCCCCCCATCAGAGAGCAGCCTCACCAGGGCACTCCTGGGCGCGTGCTGCCACCTCTCCAGCGGCCCCTCGGTGGGCCACGGCGGGGTGCCAATTCGAGCGACAGTGCGCTCTTGCCGCTGGTGTGCAGCAAGGTGAGAATATTTCTTAGCACGGGGCTCAGAACCTATGGCATGCAGCCTCATGCAAGCCGAGTAGAATGATGTCCACTTCCTGCCCTCAACCGTGGTGTTCTGCCGCAATTCGCTCTTCCAGGCCTGGTCAAGCTCCACATACTGAACTCGAAGCCCGTCTGCTCTGCCTGC